GACATATATATATTCACTTGCAAAACAAACAAAAAGTTATAGGAACCACTATCATTGAATCTATATTTTGTTCCATTGAATCTTTCAGATGGATTTTTTGAGTACCACTGAGCCTATATTTTGTACCGTTGAGTGTGTAATTTGTATCACTGAAGCTCTAGTGGTACTAATCGACAGCTCAATGAGACTTCTCTAAAATGATGCTTGAAATGTTTACATTGCCCTGACAAGGCATAGCTTTATTGTCTCACAGTCTCACACCCCTTCGTTTGGAAGCCCTCCCTTAAGGATACGAGCAACCTCTTGTGCTAGCACCAAGTGTTTTCCCTCCTTTTTTTTTCTTGTTTGATTGGTATGTAATGAACGATGTGACATATTTGATAAGTCCCTTATCTGTTATACAAATTCTTCCCATTTGAAATCTTGGTACTATTCCTAGAATGAGAGCATTCTACGTTACTCAAATAAAACATTACGGAGTATTACATAGTATCTTGAGATCATTTGATTCATCTTAAAAAGTAACTTATTAATTTATACAAAATATTTTTTTTTTAATATTATTTCACTACAAGAAAAAGGTCTAATTACAATGGAAGCGTTCCGACAAAATCCGTCGGAAATTATTCCGTAGGAAATTTGCGATGAATTTGGAATTTCCGTCGAAAATTTATGATGGAAATAAAATTTCGTCGTAAATTAAGTGTTTTCCGACGGATTTTATTCCGTAGGAAATTTCCGACGGAATATTCGGTTGGAAATTAAAGCTTCCGACAGAATTAAATTCCGTCGAAAATTTGTTTCCGACAGAATTAAATTCCGTCTGAAATTTGTTTCCGACGGAATTTAATTATTGTTTTTTCAAAAAAGACCCCAAACCCTAATATAAAACGAAACCCCCTCCCTCTTTATATTCTAATTTCTCTTTCTCTCTCCTCTCTTCTCACTCTGCCTCTCTTCTCACTCTCTCTCCTCTCCTCTCTTCCTCTCATCCTGCCTCCTCTTCTTCTTCACCCCTTATCACCTTTTCCCCTTTCTTTTTTAGTTTTTTCTTCTCATTCTTTTCCCCTTTCTTTTTTAGTTTTTTCTTCTCCCCTCACACATGAACATTGAACTCAAATGGGGTTTTAATGTTTTTGAATAAATTAAGGTTTTTCATGTCAAATTTGACCATGAAAACTCTATATCGACGTTTAAAACCCAAAAACACGCCAATTTCGGAGTTTTGTTGGTGAATTTCAAGGTATGTTATATTTTTTCTTATTTATTTTTGGTTTTTGCGATTTTTTTTATTTTTTTATTTTATGGTGATTTTGGTTGAATTGCGATGATGGTAGACTCGTGGGCGGTGGCGGTGGCGGGTGGACTCGTGGTTTAAGATTTGGTCGCGGTCTGGGTCAGTTTAAGGGTGGTCAGTTTTAGGGTCATGGTCTGGGTGGGTCTGGGTCAGTTTAAGGGTGGGTACGGTCGGGTCTAGGTTAGGGAAATGGGATGTTTTAGGTCAGGTATGGGTTAGGGTTAGGGTTTGGGTCTGGGTTAGGTTTAGTTAGGGTTTGGTCAGGTCTGGGTTAAGGTTTGGGTTAGGGTTTGAGTGGTGGTGGCAGTGGGTGGTAGTGGTGGTGGTCTGATGTTTAGGTTTTGTGGTGGTCTGTAGTGGCAGTTGGTTATGGTTTAGTGGTGGTCTGCTGTGGCAGTGGGTGGCGGTGGTGGTGGTTTGATGTGGTTGGTGGTGGTGGTGGTGATGTGGGTTTGGTTGGGGTTTACAGGGGCTTTATGGGTGATTGGAGGTGGTGATACGCTGTGCCGGTGGTGGCACGACGTGTTTTTTTTAATTTCCCAAAAGGAAATTTTGTCAAAAACCACCCACTAAAAACACTTTTTTGTGAAAAACCACCCACAATAAAAAATGTTGTAAAGCACCACCCAAACTAATAAAATATTGCAAAAAGCCACCCACTGTTGAAAACAAGTCGTTGACCGTCCTCCCCCGGCGTTGACCACACTCCCCACCCCTAGAAAACCCTAGAATTCACCGGAAAAGTTTGGCCGCCCCTCCCCCTCGAAAACCCCTAACATTCACTCCCCCCTTGAAAACCCCTAATATTCACTCCCCCTCTACCTCGAAAATCACTCCGACCACATTTTCCGATGGTGGTCTAAGGTTTTTCATTGTTTCAAGTGAATTTTAAAGGTTTTCAAGGGGGAGGGGGAAGGGAGATCGGACGTTTTCCGGTGAATTCTAGGGGTTTTAAAGAGGATGGGACGGGTGGCCAACACCAAGGGAGGGCGGTCAACACCGGAAAATATGATCAACAACCTGTTTCTGGCAGTGGGTGGCTTTTTGCAACATTTTTTTAGTTTGGGTGGTTTTTACAACATTTTTTTTATTATGGGTGGTTTTTCACAAAAATGTGTTTTAAGTGGGTGGTTTTTCACAAAATTTCCTTCCCAAAAATGGTTTCCGACGGAATTCCCGTCGAAAATTTACGACCGAATTATAAATTCAGACGGAAATTTCCGACAGAATTCGCCGGTGTCGGAAATGGTCTCACAATGGAAAATTCAGTCGGAATAGTGTTTATGCAATGGGGCAAAATTTGGGACAATGAGAGTATATAATATCAATATATCATCTTACTCTTTCTTACCACTACCTAAATACATATATACAAATAATGAGAGTGACAAGTTCTCAAGTTGTTAGACCTCCCCTTTCAATTTTACGAGATCTTGGATGGTTAAAAAAGGTAAAGGCAAAGTTTTAAGGGAAATTCCCATTGGTACACACGTGGTTTTGACTTTTCCCATTGATACACTCCAAATTTTTTGTCTTCCCATCGGTACACCCATGGTTTAGTCTTTTTCCCAACCGTGACTAACATCGTTAAAAAGTATTTCATTAAGTTAAAATAATTAAGAAAAAGACTATAATTACCCTTTTAAATATCTAATGTCTCGATTTACGTATCGAAAATTGTCGGTTAAAGTTTTGGAAGTCATGTTAGTCCTTAAGGATCCAAACCTCGAAATTAGCAAAAAAAAAAATAACGCAAATGTCTCATGTGCGTGTTAAAAAATGTCTCGGTTTGCGTGCTATTATTTTTTTGTGATAGTAATTGTTCGGTTAATGTTTTAGGGGTCATTTTGATCCTCTAAGGATCTAAATCGAACTCGAAATTGTCAAAAAATTAACGAAAATGTCTCGTTTTGCGTATCATGACAAAACAAAAAAGAAATATCTTGACGTGCAAAATGAGATATTTTTGTTAATTTTTTGACAATTTCGAGTTCGATTTAGATCCATAAAGGATCAAAATGACTCCTAAAACCTTAACCGAACAATTATTATCACAAAAAAGTAATGGCACGCAAATCGAGATATTTTTTGACACGCATATGAGACATTCGCGTTACTTTCTTTGCTAATTTCGAGGTTAATTTGGATCCTTAACGACTAGGACTCCCAAAATTTTAAACCGAACAATTTTCGACACGCAAATCGAGACATTAGATGTTTAAAAGGGGTATTATAATCTTTTCCTTAATTATTTTAACTTAATGAAATACTTTATAACGGTGTTAGTCACGGTTGGGAAAAAGACCAAACCATGGGTGTACCAATAAGAAGGCAAAAATTTTGAAGTGTATCAACGGGAAAAGTCAAAACCACAGGTGTACCAATGGGAATTTCCCAAGTTTTAATTTGAGAGGGGAGCTCCCCTGATCTAGTCATCTGCCTTCGTTTCTTACTCCAAATACTACCAAAGTAAAGGCAAAGTTTTAATTTCTTACCTAATACTACCGACACCAAACAATCTTTCAATATTTTGCTGCATGTTTAGAATTTTGCGGTTAATGAATTCATTTATTGTTACTATGATGTCTCCAACTTATACTTTTTAACTTTACCATACATTATTTATAGAATGTAAAATCAATCATGATGTGCTTAGTGCTTAAACCATAATTTAAATTTTGATTAAGTTGGCCTTAAATTACAATATGATACCAAGCGTTAACATAAGAAAAATTCTTGATGATTTTTATTAAAAAAAAAAATTAATAATAATAATAATAATAATAATAATAATAATAAAAATTCTTGACGGGGTCTTCTCCATTGACTCAATCTGGGTTGTCTGACTTCGTTCCTGGTCGTGTTATGTCGGTTGCGGCTCAGCGGAAGCGAGACAAGTATGGGGCGCGTTGCAGGACTATTGGCTATGGTTTTCTTCCTTTCTCCTTTTCTTCATTGGGGGAATTAGAGAAGGATGCCGTTGCGTTGCTGAAGCGGGTTCAGGCGTTCGCTAGGACTCAGGATATTGGAGCTCGTGCGGCTGCTCACATCTTTAACAGGATTGGGTTCGCTATAGCTAGAGGGGTGGGGGCCCAGATTGTATCTCGGCTCCCCATTAATTTCTTGTAAATCTTTTGACTTTGTAGGTTTTTGTTATTTAATAATAATAATAATAATAATAATAATAATAATAATAATAATAATAATAATATATTGCTTAATTTTTTTGAAATTGATATGGAGGAATCCTGATCTATCATACCTCAACTTAACCTCAAGGTATTTTTCAGTCCAATATTTACGGACTATGACTAAAACAAATATAAAGTTAAGAACTATAACAAGCGACTCAACACTTTGTTAGTAAATAAAAATTTTAATAACAGGTGTAATTATTCAAACTCATATTTTAGAAAATTTTATTCACCTTTAAAAGTTCTTAGCATAATTCAACTAATCAATAAAACACCTACTAAGTATTTAGTAGCTTTTCATTTCTCTACCTACCAGGATTATTTATTTATTTATTTATTTTTTTGGTTAATAGCATATCTACACGACAAAATCTGGTTTAATAGGTTTTCAAAAAAAAAAAAAAAAAAAAAAAAAATCTGGTTTAATATTGACCCTTGTGAAGCAATACTCGTATTAATTTCAAAGTGTAGCCCCAACTTTGGGGTGTAAACTATCTATAAATAGAGTTTAGTTTACTCCATAGCTTTATAACCTCAAACAATTTTACTTACAATTTCTAAGATGGCTTCCTCAATGCCCTTTGTTGTTTTTTGCCTTGTTTTTGCTTCTTTTCTATTTATTTCTTCCGAGGTTTCTGCTCGTGAGCTAGCTGAGACTACTCGTAAGTTGTTCTCTTTCACTTATCTTTGAAGATATTCAAATATAAGATGAACGATGTTTATACTTTATACAATCTACGTTTGGATTTATTTATCCCATTAAAAGTTAGATTACTCTAAGACAAAGGTGGTGGCATTTCGTATGCAAATTATATGTCCAATAACCTTGCTACTGTACTAAATTATAGGAAAATATTTAACAATATAATGTAATGCAATATATCATTCATGTATCCCTCTTCCTGAAATTCATGTTGTGTGACGAATTAATGGGTGCAAAAAATGCTCTTATGTAAATATATTAGAATTAAGCATACATTGATTTGTGTTTTAATATGTTTCTTATTTATTTTATTTGTGCGCGCAGAAGTAAAATCTACGGATGGGTATCATGGAGGACACGGTCATGGTCATGGCCACGGTCATGGGCCTATAGAAGATGAGAAAGAAGTTAACACTGAAGGTTATGGTTATCACCATGGTCATGGTCTCCAAGGGAAGGAAGAAGTTAACCGCGAAGGTTATGGTCATGGTCATGGCCACGGACATGGTCATGGTCATGGTCTCTTAGAGAGTGAAGAAGTTAACCCAGAAGGTTATGGTCGTGGTCACGGCCATGGACATGGTCACGGTCATGGTCTCTTAGAGAGTGAAGAAGTTAACACTGAAGGTTATGGTCATGGTCACGGCCACGGACATGGTCATGGTCTCTTAGAGAATAAAGAAGTTAACCCTGAAGGTTATGGATATCATCATGGTCATGGGCATGGGCATGGCCATGGTCATGGTCTCCTAGAGAAGGAAGAGGTTAACCCTGAAGGTTATGGATATCATCATGGTCACGGTCACGGTCATGGTCATGGCCTATCAGAGAAGGATGATGTTAACCCTAAAGGTTATGGTCACGGTCATGGGCATGGGCATGGTCTACTGGAGAAGGATGAAGTTAACCTTGAAGGTTACGGATATCCTCAGGGTCATGACCATGGTCATGGACATGGACATGGTCATTATCAGCCAAAGAAAGAGGAAAGTAATGTGAACCCAGAGGGCTATGGTTATGGCCATGGAGGTTATGGTTACAGTCATGGAGGTCACGGTCATGGCCATGGCCATGGCGGTCACTATCCACCAAAGGAACAAATTAATAACTGAGTTTATTAATGTTCACTGCCCTATCATGCAATTTGATATCCGTTTGGTAGGTGTTGTGCTTTATGCTGGAAAGGATGCAACATTTAGTGTACTATGGTTGCTATGAAAATAATGCGTGTATAAGTTTTTAATTCTGTAACATCCTAAAATTTTAGTATGAGAGGGAAGAAATGAAGACAAATTGACACATTTGGTGTCTTGGTGATGAAGTGACGCTTCTTAATTATGTTTTCAGTTGTGTGTATGTGTTATGTTTGTTGGAATTTTAAGTATTTCAGCTCATTTTATCCCCTATATATGCTCTAATTTTAGTGTACGCCGAATATTCTCATTCATGTATGATCTAATATTGTCCTCTCTATTCTGTCTACGTACTTTCTCACCCTTCCATGGGTACAAATCTTCTATCCCACAAATGACATATTGACATACTGTCAAATTAATGAAAATAGTATAGTGCACCCGGGTGTACCATGCGCATGGTGCCAATGGCGGAGCTATGAAGGGGCCTGGGTGGCACCGGCCCGCCATTATTTTATTTTTTAAAATTTTATTAAGTAACAGGTGTAAATTTATAGGTTAAATACAATTTTAATGCAATAAAAAAACTTCAAATTAGCTTTGCCATAGTGATAGTGCATTGAATTTGAATTAAATGTCTTGGGTTCAAGTCTTTATACAAGCATTTTATTTTTATTTTTTATTTAGTGCCCCTCCACCTTAAATATTCTACATCCGCCACTGATGGTGCACCCGGAAAGAACATTAGACATATTTTAAAGAACATGGGCCAAAAAAAGAACATTCTAGTGTTTGAAAAAGAACATAACTGTGTTTAGCAAAAGAACATGTTTGTGTTTGATAAGAATATGACATTACAAAGAACATAAAATCTTTTAAAAAATAACATTATGTTATTTTTCATGGTTACTCGAGTAGTTGAACGTGTTTGAAAAAGAACATTACATTTGACAAAAAAGAACATGCTTGTGTTTGACAAAGATAGAGATGATCATTGGGTGGGTCGGGCCTAGATTAAAAAATCAGCTCATTTATCGAGTCGGGCGAAGTTTTGGGTCGAAATTTTTGTGCCCAAATCCGCCTAAAATGGTCCGGCCATGCGGGCTTTTCTAGTCGAGTAAAAAATAATCAACTAAAATTCATAAATATGCATTCCCAAACCGGCTCAAAAAATTAAATTACGGGCCGGGACCGACCCAATTTTGGGGGCGAAAAAATTCTTCCCAAAACCCGTCTAAAATCGGGCCGGGCCGGTCTAACTTTGATCACCTCTAGTGCCCAAAGATTATAAAGTCTTTACAAAAAACAACATGATAATATATTAAAGAACATGTTCTTTATCCGGGTTACTTGGGTTAACTTTTTTTAGAAATTTTTTCTATGTTTTTTTTATTTTTATTTTTTATGTACATACATTAAAGAACATATTGTATATTGTAAAGAACATAAACTCAATGAACATAATAATCAAACTTAAAGAACATATTATGCTCGCGTTCTTTATAAATATCTATAATGTTCTTTTTTCGCCCATGTTCTTTTAAATATAACTAATGTTCTTTCCGGATTCACCATGCGCATGATGCACCTGGGTGCACCAACTTCACATTACAAATTAAATGACTCCATTCTAACTAGTCACTAGTTGTTGTTGTTTTTTTTTTTTTTTTTTTTTTTGTAATCACTTTTCCACTTTCATTTAATCTTTCATCTTCTTCATCTCATGTTTGCTTCAATGATGACAATATATTCAAGATATATTCTCAGTGGCGGATCCAGGATTTCTAAACTTGTGAGTCACCCTGAATAATTGATCACATGTAAAAGTATAAATAAACTTCGAATCCAAAAATATTAACAAAATTCTATTTTTGGATACAACCACCTTCATTTCAACCAAAACAAAAAAAAAATTCATACTACAACCAAATAGTACTTAAATAATTCATCTTACAAACTGAAAGTACTACAAATAATATATTACAAGCACATAGTACAATAAACTATTACAATTTTTCACGACGAGTTTTCATATTTTGATATCGATCAATAATGTGATCTATTTTGACATTCGAAAACAAATCACTTTCTAGAAAAGTAATCAAACAATCATTCAACATTTGATCTCCTATGCTATTAAGCAATTTATATTTCACGATCGTCATACCAGAAAATACTCTTTCAACACTTGCAGTTGTAACGGGGAGAACCAACACCAACTTCAAAAGCAAGTATACTCTACTATGAGTTTCGGACAATCCCGTCTCAACGAGTTTCTTTAATTTTGATAACTCACTAAGACTCTTCAAATTCCAAAAACTTTCATCATCTCTAACAGTGACAAAGAAATTTTGAAATGTGTTCAAAGTAAATCAATTCAGAGTTTGAAAATTCATTTGGATAGAATGTTGCTTGCTTGGTCAATTTAAATTTGTCAAAAGAAGAGAATCGATTAACTGAAATAAAACAAGACATACACACAAAAAGTTATTTACTTATCTCGGGAAATCAATTTTCAAGATCTTGTAACTGAAGATCAATGACACTTATAAACACCTCAACTCGAAAATGATGAAGATTTGACACTCCCAGACGCTTACCTCTAAACATCCTTCTCCCGGGAACAACATATGTCGCATTCATATCTAGAACCTTAATCTCATATTTGGTTGTGAAAGACAAGATCTTCTCCATAAGGGAATCCCATCCCTCATCTCTCAACTCTTGCAAATTAGTCTTGGTTACGTTAACCATGGCCATTGCATTAACAATATCTTGATCATGTTTTTGTAAAGCCACATTCAACTCATTTGTAATTGCAAACATAGTAACCATTAAGTGAGCCACAAACACAAAATCAAAAGTCATTAACCAACCAATAATACTTTGTGCTTTTGCTTCGGCAGCTTTAGCAATCTCATCAAGTGAGCCAAGGCTTGAAGGAGAAATATATCAAGAACATTAACATGTGTTTTAAAGTGGGAACCCGAACGGGTGTCACAAGGTCTTCCTAACCCCCGTTCTTGATTTAAACCCGGACCTGTTTCAAGTTCACCTAAGGATAACACATCAACAACTGCTTGAGCTTGTTTTTCACGAAGAAATTCTTTCCTCTTTGGCGAGCAACCCACAAAATTCAAGAGAGGAGCAAGCATGTCACTAAAAAGCCAAGCACAATCAGGGTTCTTTCTAGAAAGTGCAACTTGAGTCAACTGAAGTTGGTGAGCAAAGCAATGAACAAAGTATGCTTGTTTACATTCTTTCTCTATTAAGGTTCTAAGGCCATTAATCAAACCTTGCATATTACTAGCCCCATCATAACCCTGACCCCTTACTTGAGAGAAAGACAAATAACGGTTAATTAATAATGACTCAATAGCAACCTTAAGAGTTAAAGAAGTTGTATCCCCAACATGCACAATACCAAGTAAATGCTCACACACTTCTTCTTTATTTACATATCTCAAACAAATAGCCATTTGTTCCTTATCAGAAATATCAGCCAACTCATCAGCAAGAATAGCAAAAACACCACCATTAAGAACTTCAAGTATTGCTTTAGTAGTTTCTTTTGCACGTGCATTTATGATGTCTTTTTAAACAATCGGAGAAGTAAGTTGACAATTATTAGGAGCATTTTTCAAAAAAACTTTTGAATAACCAGGATGTAAGTCTGAAACAAGAGTCAAAAGTCTAAGAAAATTACCTCTGTTTGAAGAAGTTTCTTTTTCATCGTGAGCTCAAAAAGGCAATGCTCCAACTAAAAGCCATTGTACAGAAATAGTTGATGCTTCCAATCGCTTCTTATAGCTACTCATAGACTCCTTGCTTTGTTTTGAAAATGCAGTGGTGATGCTTGACTTTTGTTTCTTTAACATATCCATAGCTAACACGGTATTGTTGTGAGCACTCATGTGCTTACCAACATGAGCTTTTAGTATGTCTAATCTATTCCAAGATCGAAAACCATCGATAACAAATGCATCACCTCCAAATGCATTTTCATCCTTGAATAAGTAACAAATGAAACAATAGGCAGAATCCTTTTCCATACTATATTCAAGCCAAGAACCCCAAGTTTCAAACCACTTCACACAAAAATGGCGTTTTTTAGGAGCAATGAGTCTTTGAGGAAATACATGGTTTTTAGGTTGGCATGGCTCTTTTTGAATGTAAGTTCTCCTCACTATGTCTCTATCATCAGGATGGAAATCACTCATCTTTCTTCGCAATCCTGGGTCGTGAGGAAGATTGGCAAGATCATTTTCACTTAATCTAACACCATCTCCCGAAGCATTAAGAGGACTAGTGTGTTCCACTTCATTTTGAGGGGAGTTGTGAGTGGAATTTTGAGGTGATATTTAAGGGGAAATTTGAGGTGAATTGTGTGTGGGAGAGGTATGTTGTTCATTAATATGATGTGGAGTGAAGAAACTAGCGATATTTTGCATTTTATTTGGAGTACGTTTCCGCTTCATTCTGAAAATAAATTAAGCAAATAAACAATTACAAAAAATTCAGCAATTCATTTATACAATCATATATACATAATTTCATTTCATTTGAATACACGTAATACATTCAAATATCAATCAAATCTGAATCAAATAACCAACTAATCAACTACTCTGACCCAAATATCAATCAGTTCATTTGAATACACATGATACATTCAAATATCATCACTTGGACAACTTTGCAAACGATATATGCAGATAATGGGCAGCTTTTGAATGCACGAAAGGCTACAAACTACAAAGTACCAATAGTCCAATAGTACTCAAGACTACTCAACAATTCTGCATTTCAACAATTCAACACCACAAATGTCAAATCCACAATGTGACAATGAACAACATTACAACAAACTAACTATCAATTACAAATTTTCAAGACTATGAAATTATAATTTATAAATCAATAAATGACTGAAATTATAATCAATTAAGTAATTAACACAATAAATCAATAATGAACAAAAAATCAACAATTCATTTCAATTTAATCAAACAAATGACTAACATTATACAAATTATAATTAACAAAACAAATTAAAACTTAAAACTTAAAAGGTATAAATACCTTGTTGCTTGGCTACTTGCTCAATTGCTCAATTCACAGTGGCTCGGTGCTCCATGCTCGACTGACGACTGCTCGGTGGCGTAGATTTCGAGGGCGGCACGACGGTCGAGTTGAAGCCTTGAAGGATAGTAGTCGAGATGGGCTTTTGAAGTTGAGGGACTAAAGGCCTCGAGTTGTTGGCGTTGTGCGTCGAACGACTGACTAAGTTACTAAACTTTGGCTACTCTGGCCTCAAGCGTGGTTGACGTCGCCGGCGAAGTAGGCAAGTAGCGTTGTAGCGGCTGATTTGGGAGAGCGATTTAGGGTTGTGAGGTTTCCGTTTCAGTTCCACGCGTTTTGGGCCTTTAGGCCGTTTTCTCTTTTTTTTTTCCTTTTTTTTGGCACTGCTGAGTCACGTGACTCAGTGTGCACACGTGTAAGTCCTCCACTATATATTATCAAAAAATAAGGTCAACAACAAGTCAATACTTGATTTTTTTCAGTAATTACAAGAGGTGTTCGAATTCAAACATTCCTTCAAACTTCAATCTTTTTCAACCCATATTTACTTCAATGATAACTAGCTAGCATAAGAATATTCATGATATAATTAATCAACAAGCTAGTACAACAAAAATGTAACAATTTTTTTTTTCCAGTAAGTACAAGAGGTGTTCGAACTCAATAATAAAATTCTACATTGTATTCTATATACTATTGTAGACACCCATTTGTGTCTCCCCAAAACCAAGACCGGTGATGAGTACCTTTCACGTCAAATCATAATCGAATGAAGTGAAAGTGTGGAAAGTCTAGTGTTGCGGATAGTTTTAATTTCTTTTCTTTTCTCTCTGTTTTTTGAAAATCTATTTTAAGAAAACAGCCAATCCAGTTTGGTTGTTCCATGCTATGGGTCCATTAATAGTGTATTTGGATGAGTCTTGAAGAGAGCTTTCCAACGATATATTATAAGCCCGATTCCGATGAATAATGAGGAAGTTATGGCCAAATTACTAAACTGGGCCCGGTTTGAACATTATATGCGGCCCAACGATCTAGAGGAGGGCCTAATATGAATTTATCATTCCTAATGCAATTAGGAATGGTTTTAGTCTTCTAGATTCTTCAAGAAGGTTCTTTTCATTCCTAATTCAATTAGCATTGATAAATTGACTTTTGTTGACTTTTTAGAGTTTTAATCAGAATAAAAGAATGTTTGTGAGGAAAATACGATTTTATCCTCTTATACAGTTAAATTCTATTTGATTTTAGAAAACGCGTCAAAAACTTGGTTAGCGCCTAACGCCAGCATTAGCGCCTGGCGCCAGCATTAGCGCCTAGCGCTAAGCTTGGCGCCTAGCACTAGCATTAGCGTCTGGCGCTAATGTTAGCGTCTGGCACTAACTCTGTTTTTTCACGTCAGAACTCTGGTTTGATTTTCTATCTTTTTGGTTGATTTTCTCTCTATATAGCCTCCTAAAAACTCCGTCTACAATCATCTACAATCATCAATTATTATACTCTTTAATTCTTTCTCTCTCTAAGCTAAAGCTTCTCTCTCCCTCTTTTCGACACCTACCCCTCTTTTACAAACAAAATTCCGCACTCATTAGACCTAAATACACATAGCATTATTCGAAGTTGCCTTCGCCCTAGACGTGAAAGGTTTTAATTTCTGAGGGTTTGGTCTCAAATCTTTCTTTCAATTATTTAATTTAATTGTTGTTTATTGTTTTCCTTGAAATTACTAACGTGTGTATTTTGTTATTAGAAAGAGGTACGAGGCATCCAAGTAAGTACTTTAGTGGTTTTTATTGATATAATAATGTAGAAATTAAATTATGCTTAAATTGTTATTATGATTCCTAGTGTTATGTTAGGGCATTTTGATCTTCCTAGTATCATGTCTAGGGTAACTTTAATATCAAGTATGATTAAAAGTATGATGCCTTTTATATTCTTTCCTAATATTCATGTTAGTATCATGTTAGGGCTAAAGCTTTGATTTTTATTGTTTAGTGACATGCTAGGGTTTGTTATTAATATCTTGTTAGTATCACGCCTAGGATCTTGCTATTAATATTATGCTTTAACATGATTAATTTAATTATTATGATTGTTATTTTAATTATAATGATTATTCTGATTATTATGTTGCTTGATATTATTTTTTTATTGTTATTGCTTGATCACGCCTTTTATGCATGTTTAAAGGGAATTGGTACTTGTAATTACGCTTAATAAGATAATTAATAATCTTGTGTAGGGTTAATTTGATTATAATTCAAGTGATCTCCAATAATAGTTTTGTTTGTGCATTAATATTCAACCAACATAGATTAAACAGGTTTAGGGTAAACCTATTGATTGCATGTTAGTCAGAAAGCGCACATGAATACGATCAGAATAAAGTAGAGACCTATCATTAGGGCAGGTTCAATCTCTTTTAGGTTGTATTTGTACTTTCATCCCCAAACTACCAGTCATGGTTCAAGACCTATTGGAGTTGACGATCTCCTGGATCGTTAAGGAGTGTAACCTTCACCCTGTGAACGGTTTACAAGTTCCTAAAACTTGTTGGCGACTCTTTTGCTCTATCTTCTATCCCTTTGGACGCCACCGTACGTTAGTGTATGATCACAGTGGGGTTCAAGCTAGGGATAATGCTTGAAATATTCCCTACAGTTTTTTAGCGACTCCACAGGGGACGATTTCTATTTTAATTCCTGAAATTTAATTCGGCAATGATTTAGAATGAGTGGATGAGACTCGAAAAGTTCTAAGTATTTCATGTGCGTAATTTTTATTAACATTATTGTCATATGCACTAAAAAAGATCTCATTGGAAAGACCATCCGTAATGAGTTAAAACATAGGATTTTACACGTAGAAAATTTGAGGAATATCTTTCACAACTAGGATTGAAATAACGCTGCGCGAAACTGGAAAATTTTATCGAGCATAGAAAGCTGATGAGGCATGTAGGAACTAGCGTCAGCGAACAAAGATTAGCGCCAACGTTTTGACGTTAGCGTTAGGCGACAGCCTCTGTCGCCAGGCGCTAAAGCCAAAAAGTGGCGCTGGCCTCTGTTTGCTGGCGCCAAGTTCTTCCAATACCGAGCCAGAAATATGCGTTCTAATTTTAACTAGTTTTTAGCACTGTTTGCTCGATCCTACTTTCTTGATTGAGTTTTTCTCACTTTTCTGAAACCCATATGTGTTCTACATATGGAAATAACCCTTTGGGAATTCATGCTCCATATACCTGATTGAACGCTCTAAGCAACAAAGGGTACATCCGAGAATGTTGAATTCACCAAACCATGGAAGCAAGTTTTTCTAAACTCGCGGTGTCCCATCCACTCGCGCCAACCCTTCACGGTTAAGCTTCTGCACGGTGCATCCGGACAATTAACCATGGACTCTCTATTGACTAACCTATATCATGAACTTTAGAGAACCAGAGCCATGGTTAGGTTGCAAGCTCATTGCATCATATTGTGCCTACTTGACTAATTGTGCATTATTTGTTGTGCATACTTTATGGGATTTTTCCTAACCATTTGTTTGACTTGTGCTAAGATTAAATAAATTTATTCATGACTAAAAGAACTTTGCCTAACTAATTAATTAATTTGAGTAAATAAAGTCTAATTAGATATGACTTAGTACGACTTTAGGCATACCCCTGTTGAGTAATAATACTGAAAACATTTTCATATCAACGCTCCATCAATGGCACCAAAGTTTGAACTGTAGCGCCACTCTGTGGAGTGTAGCGCCTGGCGACAATCCTGTCGTCTGGCGCTACACTGCAAAAAGAGGCGCCAGTCCTATCATTTTGACGACAGTTCGGTTTATTGCTCGAGTCATCACCTTGTGTCTAATTAAACAGTTTTGCTAATTAATTCGGTTAATTTTTACTGTTAATTATACCTTGTTAAGTCAATAATTGAGTCTAGGTACTAAGTCCCATGGTCTTACACAAAAGTCAAAGCATGTCACTTACACTCACCACATAACGCACATACTAATACACACTTTGACCAAGTCTAAGAGAGTCTAGTATGCACGTTTTTTCCGTCATTTTTTTAGGGGGGTAAGTCGGATATTCATCCTCCAATTTAAACCATTTGATTAAATACCATACTTGATTCCC